CTGTTGATACATCCGAAAGCTTTGTGGTTTAGTCATGCGCATAGATGGGGCTCTTCAGTGCCTTCACGGCCCAGTCCGGAAACGCAGAGGGGTGCGCGATAGAGAACGGAGTATGTAGGCTGCAGCGCACATGCCCAGATGTTTGGAAATCTAACCCGAGGTAGTCCCAGTGGAATTTGGGCCCAGATTTGCGAGAATTCATGGAATCCCTGGACCATGCACACCAGAGGATTGGAGATTCGAGCTCATCCAGAGGCACTGATGTCTGAGAACTGTTGCACAGAGTTCTCAGTGGCTGGTTTTCCTGACGTCGATTACCAGAACTTTGTTCCAAGGAACCTCTAGATGGACTCAAACCTCCAACCTTTTGGTTAGTACACATTCATGTGAACCATTTATACCACTAGGGATTCCCGTTCAGCTTAGAAAAATTTAGTAATTGTTCTCGCCCACGCCCCCTAGTCTTCTAGAAAAAGACACCCTGGTGATGATGTGGGAGCAGCCCTGGAGTGCTAACTGCAAAGTGGGTGATTCAACTCACCAGCGGTTCCAAGGAGAAAGATGAGGCTGTAGCAGTAAAGACTGAAAACAGTCTCAGACCCCCTCTGCAGGGTCGCTGTGAGTGCGTAGTCACAGGATGGCGTGAGTCTGGCTTTGTGGTTTGTTTCTTTTCTAAAGTGTATCATTTGTATCTACTTTCCCTTCCAAAATGTCAGCTCCTTGAGGGCAGCTCTGATAAGGGGGGTGACAAAGGCACGAAGTAACTGGCTTACAAGGTTTCAAGGGGGAGTTTAGTGAGGAAAGACCCACAAGAACACCCAAACTTGCAGACAGTACCCATCTGACCTGGCCTCGATGGCTTAATAACCAGAACTCCACTAAAGGAAGATCCAAAACAAAACAATTCTTGATCATGAAACGAGGGTAAATTGCTACATTTTGATGAACTTGATCTATACTCATGGAGGTAGTAGCTCAAAATACCAACAGAGAGGAAAAGAGTCTTCACATTAAGTATCAATGCTATCCCCTCTGTATACAGGGTAGATAGGAACGGGCAACTTAGACATTGGCTACTTAGAATGAGGGGGTGATAAAGGCTCAAAGTGACTGGCTTACAATGTTTCAAGAGGAAGTTGTTTAAGAGTGTGGGGGAAGATACAGTCCCCACTGAATAGTTTTCATCTTGTCTAGATGGGTCTGGTAAAAAGAGATGGGGATATGATTCAATCAATAGTAATTGTTATCATGACTAATTGCGACTGTCACAATTGTAAAGGTAGTTTTGTAAAAAAAAACAAAAACAAAAAACGGGGGAGTAATCTTACAGTCCAGAAACAGAAGTCCCTAGGACCATCAAGGGAGAAGAGCACAAGCGGAATGCGAGGCCTTATTCAGAGAAGCAGCAACATTGGAGAAAGGGAGCAGCTGAGGACTCTAGATTCATAGAAAGAGAGGGATTGAGAGCTGATTGCCAGGAGGCCGACTTGCAGAATGTGCCCTTTGGTGGTATAAATTATTATATATGCTTAAGTGTTTGAAGTTAAGGAAGGTGTGTGGCAGGGTTGTACTCTTTCACCATACTTATTCAACCTGTATGCTGAGCAAATCACCTGGGTTATATGAAGAAAAACGTGGCATCAGGATTGGAAGAAGACTCATTAACAACCTGCGATATGCAGATGATACAACCTTGATCGCTGAAAGTGAAGAAGACTTAAAATATTTACTGAAGAAGATCAAAGAGCACAGCCTTCGGTATGAATTGAATCTCAATGTAAAGAAAACAAAAACCTTCACCACTGGACCAATAAACATTCTTATCAATGGAGAAAAGATTGAAGTTGTCAAGGACTTCATTCTTCTTAGATCAACTATCAACACTCGCAGAAGCAGCAGTCAAGAAATCAAATGCCGTATTGCATTAGGCAAATTTGCTGCACAAGACCTTTTTAAGTGTTGAAGAGCAAAGATGTCAGCTTGAGGACTAAAGTGCGCCTGACCCAAGCCATGGTATTTTCAATAACCTCATATGGATGCGAAAGCTGGACTGTAAATAAGGAAGACCATAAAAGAATTGATGCTTTTGAGTTATGGAGAATAGTGAAAAGTGCCATGGGCTGCCAAAAGAACCAACAGATCTGTGTTGGAAGAAGTGCAGCCAGAGTGCTCCTTGGAGGCCAAGATGGCCAAACTTCATCTCTCATACTTCAGACATATTGTCAGGAGGGACCAGTTGCTGGAGAAGGATCTCATGTTTGGTAAGGTGGAGGGTCAGAGAAAAAGATAAAGACCCCCAGTGAGATGGATTGGCAAAGTGGCAGCATCAATGGGCTCAAGCGTGGCCCAGGACCGGGCAGTGTTTTGTTCTGTTGTGCATAGGGTCATTATGAGTTGGTACCGACTCGATGGCACCTAACAAGTGTTTGAAAAGAAGAGAGCTAAAATGAATAGAGAAATACTGTTAACCGATGGTACATGGAGGGGATTATAATCATTGTAATGAAACCAAGTATATGATTTGTTGAATGTAAAACTGATGATCTTCCCTGTAAACTTTCACTCAATTCACAATAAAAACTTTATAAAAAGCTTATGTGACATGGGTACTGAAACAACTCGCAGGAAACATAGACAGAAGTGTTTGGACATCTGCGAACACAATTTGAAATAATGCTCAAAAGAAGGTAAAAGTGTCTTTAAACTGGATTAAAATGCAGAGGACTGACTGCATTATCTTGCATGACAGTGCACATCCGCAGACCTGTCCACACTGTTGACACTCTGCAAAACTTCATTTTGAGTTGTTAAAGCACCCTCCCCATAGTCCTGATCTTGCTCAGGACTTTCACCTCTTAGGTCCCCTGAAAGCAGCCCTTCTATGACAAACATTCACCTCAAATGTAGAAGCGACTACAGTGGTGCATTCGTGGCTCACAGCTCAGCCTAGAACATTTTAAAATAAGGGAACACGAAAACTTATTGACAGATTGTTTTGAAAAATGATGTATTTGTCTTTTCTAAAAGTTAATTAAAATAAATTATACAGCCAAAAAAAAAAAGGGGGGGGCGGGGGCAGATCTGATATCTTTTATTCATCGCTATGTCCCACATGTCTAGAATAAGCCTGGCAACTCTAGGGTTTCCAAGGGGCACCTGGTGAGTCTGAACCGCTGACCTTGGTGCCACTAAATGTTTCTCAAATTTGTAAATGATTTGGCAAAATCCCAACAAAAGGAAGCACCAGTATCACTGAGAAGGGAGAGAGGGGTCTCAGGCCCTGGGAGTTGAGCCACCCTGCCCCCACCATAAGACACTGCCCCTTTCTGGATAGCCCCAGGGGAGCTCACCTGTAAACAATCAAATGGGAGAAGAAAGCAACTTCTGTGTCTTAAGTCAACTTAAAATTTAAGAAATTTAATTGATCACAGTAAGACAATCAGCTATAAAAACATTCTATACAGTGGTTCAAAATGTGATACCCATTCTCCCAAAGCTGCCTATACATACAACATGGACATTTTCTCCTGAAAGGCGGTGCAGCGCCCCCAGAGGAGAAACTGAACAAACACAGCAAGCAGGGTTTGCAAAAATAAATAATTCTTTTCTTTTCGAATCTAAGTGGTAACAGTTTCTGTAAATGTAGAAAGTGCAAACATAACAGAAATCTCCACTATCTGTACACCAGTTATTTACACCCCACAGGATGGGCGCAGTGTTTCATGTTCATGTCACGGACGGTCTCAAACCCCTTCTTATGCTTCATCAGGATTTGGTCACCAATGCCGTGACGAAGTCGGCAGCCAGTTCAAAGGGACTTTCCATGGCATGACCCAACGAGTGGCTGAGATGCGAACTTGGGCCGCATCCCTGGACTAGTGAGTGCCCTGCGGGCCAAGAGGAAGCCCAGCAAAGTTCCAAAGACCAGACGCACAGGACCTCTTCCTCCACCTGCTTACACTCAACTTAGAGAAAGGCCTGCAGACGGCACGCTCGCCAAAACAGTGCAAAAGAATAACAACAATGACACACTTACAAAATGTAGAACCTGAATTGAAAAAGTGCACAGAACCAAAGGAAGTCCGGGCTCCATGTGGCGGGGAGGGCAGGGCACAGGTGACCCTAACTTGGAACGCTTGTCTTGGCTCACAAGGTAAGCTGGAGACTCAGGCACTTAATCACTGTTAAGCTTGGGATGTCATGATGTCATGCTGAGTAAGATGGAGGGTCAGAGAAAAAGAGGAGGACCCCCCAGGTGGCATCATTGATGGCAAGTGTGGTAGTGGTGGTGGGGTTGGCCCAGGATCGGACATTGTTTCATTCTGCTGTGCATGGGGTCGCTATGAGTCGGTTCCGACTCGATGGCCACCTGACAATAACAAGCTTGGGATGGGCTCTTGTGCTGGGAATTGTCATTTTGGTGAATGAATTGGTCTCAGTTGAGACCAATGGAACCCCATCTTGATCCCCCTTCCCCAGCTGGAGGCGTGATAGTTCATCCTGACCCGGGGGTAGGGTGGGGCGGGCAGAAGGCTCATCTGGCTGTCTACCAGGGTGTGCCAGGTAGAGGTAAACACGTGTACTCCTGAGTTATGGGGCTGGGGGCACCTGTGTGTCTGTGTTCTCTCAGCTGCTTGCCCCTTGCTTCCAGTCCTCCCTGTGCAGCATGAGTGGTGCTGGGCAGTAGGTCAGGATGGCCCTGAGAGGAAACAGGATGTCCAGCTCGCTCACAAAGAAAAAACGATCCCTACCAAAGCCCGCTTCGTGTGCGGTTAGATGCCTGTGCTGCCTCCCAGAGGAATAAATATATAAAACAAAGCTCTCAGCAGACGGGCCGCACGGCACAGGAGCCGGGGTTTAGTCAGCAACACTGCTGACTCTCTTCTTTCTTTGAGTGGGAAAGGAAGGCATCCGGGTCTCGGGAAGGTTGTGGACAGGGGGTCCGGGGGACCCAGGACAGCAGCAGGTTTTGGTGGCACAGAACACAGCAAGGCAATGGTTCACGCCATGTCGTCCTCTAGGCTGACCATCTGTCTCTGTCAACAAAAGCCAGAAACCGTCAACCCAGCTCTCAGTAAACCTGGCCAGGATCCACTCCCTCCTCACCCCGCGGACTGTCCCTGCCACATCTCTGTTTGTTTCCCCATGGAGGCTGGCTTCTCTGCTCAGCGCCTCCCATGGCAACCCCACTCACTCAAAGTAAAGCCCAAGTCCCCTCCTGGCCCATGAGGTTCTACAGAACAGACAGTCAATGTGTTGTGAATCCACACCTCCCCATTTATCAATGAGCTCATTCTGTGACACTCTGCATTTACAACTACAGTAAAAAATAAAAACCAAGCCGATTGTTTTGTGCGTTAGTGATGTGCATCTGGCGCCAATGACATGCCAAGGCTCAAGGGGAGAGGAAGGCTGGCTGATCATGGTTCTGTGTCAGCTTGGCTGGGCCATGACTCAGTCAGTCCTTTAGCAGTTATGTAATGATGTCCTCATCCTCCATGTTGTGAATGGATGAGGTCATTCCCATAGTCATATAACGACCTGATCTTTGGGGCCTAATTCTCACTCTCGCTAACTCTGTGCTACTCAACATACCAGGCATAGTCCAGCCCCAGGGCTTTTGCACAGACTGTACCCTTCCTCAGGGAAGCCCTCCAGACCTGCACAACCTATCTCTATTCCCTTTGCTTTACTTCTACAAAGAGCTCATTACACCTGACTTAGAATTTATTTTATTTACTTTTCCTCGCCTCCCATGAGAAGAACCTCTCACCAGGGGCAGGGCTGATGCTCAGGAGGCAAAGATGGACATAGATAGATGCCCAGAGTGCTAAGGGGTGGGGAAGACACGCCCAGGCCATACACCCACCCTGGCCGAAGCACTCACCGCGGGGTAGGTGTAACCATCCTGGCTACGGCAGATGTGGACCTCATCCTCGGTGGTCTTCTGGTACACAGGGTTGTCAAAGTTGATGCTGTTGATACTCTTCAGCCGCCAGTTCTTCCAGAGGAGGAAGACCCCGAAGCAGAGGAGACCGAGCAGCACTGTGGAGAGGGGAAGGGATAAGGTGCCGCCTCTAGGGCGCCTGGCCTTTGTACTTCGGAAGGGTTTTCTTCTGAGTGTCAAAGCGAGGCACACACTCACACACAAGTTGTGAAAATCCATCCATCCAATTGGGAAACCCAGGAGGAAATGAGAAGATTCCCCAAAACACTGAGGGAATTGCAACTAATATCACAAAACAAAACGTGTAGAAGTTGTTGACGGAGGAACTAACTATTCTGTCAACTTTCACTAAAACCACAATCAAATGTTCACACACACACGCACATATGAGGGGCCTTCAAAAAGTTCATGGAAATATCAAAAGACAATGGAATTTTTTCCATGAACTTTTTGAAACCCCTTATATATCCATATAAGGAGCTCTGGTAGCGTAGTGGTTATGAATCGGGCTGTGAACCTTAAGGTCAGCGGTTCGAAACTACCAGCCGCTCCGCGGGAGAAAGATGAGGCTTTCTACTCCCGTAAAGATTTACACCCTCGGAAACCCTGTACAGGGTCGCTATGGGTCGGACCCGACTCGACGGCACTTAACAACAACAACAATATATCCATATAAAAGAAATGTCTACCTTGGGTGCCTTGGGCGGGGCCTGCCTTCCCCTGAGCAACAGCTGGCTCCAGGAGCTTCCTGTGACAAGCCCCTCAGGGCTGCTGTGATTTCTAGGGTGGGATCACTCTACATACTGGGTTCACGGCCTCACTCTCCTGTTCTCACGCTTGTTGGGAGGGTCCTTATTTCCTCATGGATAGTGGGCATCGGGCAGGACCAAGAGCAGAGGAGACTCAAGCTCTGCTGGGAAAACACTGGGTTGGGGTCACATTGGAGCTCGCAGGGGAGTATGGGTCCCGGCTGCCATGTTTGTCACTCTCAGCCAAAAGACGGGCATGGACACATGGGCCATCAGTCTGAGCCTCAGGAGGCTGCCGTAAGAATGGAAAATGGAGTGTGAGCCAACGAGCCCTGAAGGGCAGCTAATGGACGGAGGGGGACTTGTCGGGGCTTCCACACAGGCGCCCTCCTGCCTCTCCAGGCTCTCGGAGCCCGAGCAGCATGCCCCAACCATCTCCGCCTGTCTTCATGATCCCATCAGACACACACATTGCCTGTTTCGCTTTGTTCCTGGTCAGCTCTGAGGGACGCCATGTTTAGGTTTTTCATGGCCAGGGCCCCAGTCCTGGGAAGTGGGTCTGGTACATGGTAAGCACTAACTGTTTCTTACACTACTGAGGGCACCATGTGCTGTAGGTCACCAGGGAGGAAAACTTGATTAGATCAAGGACCCAAGCAGGAAAGCGGTTTGATAGGCACTGGGGACTGACAGGCGGGTGCTTACCGACAGGGAGGATGATGGACAGTGCCCCCACATGCCTGGACTTCTCCTCGGCTTCTTGGCCAGCAATGTCGCCTAGCACTGCGTGGGAGAAAGCGAGGCTCAGATTCAGAACGCGGGGCATAAAAAGCAAAGGCCCCTCCTCTAAGGAAAAAGGTACAGTGCTTGTCATGGTCTTTAAACATTCAAAAGCCCTGGGAGAACCCAGGTCTGAGTGAGCCTTGCTCTGCTCTGCTCAGTCAGTCATTGGACATTCCGAGTCGGTGTGGGTCACAGAAGGTTCTGTAACGTCATAGTGACTTTGATGAAGCACAGAAGGAGGGGCTGCCAAGAAGGGTGGAGAGAGGCCTCAAGAAGTCACGGATGGAATTGTCAGGCTGCCTTGGTAGTCTACAGAAACAGGCAGATCCTGCATGGGGCAGGGGGCCACCAAAGCCAGCTAGACCTGTGTCATCTGTCTCCAGCTAAAGAGAAATGATTGGGGGCATGCAAATGAGGGCTGAATGTAGTCCTCACAGGCAAGTGGTTGTGGGGCTTAAACAAATGCAAACAAACCATCAAGTAAGGGATAAGGCCTCTAATGCTACTGACTACTTTACTATACCTCTTTGGACTGCTAGTGTGCGTCAGACTGCAAAGCCATTTGAACTACAAGATCAGTGGTTCAAGCTTACCAGTCACTCCTTGGAAACCCTATACAGGATCACTATGGGTTGGAACCAACTAGATGGCATTTCACAACAACAAGGAGCTCTGGTAGCATAGTGGTTACAAATCGGGCTGCGAACCTTAAGGTCAGCGGTTCGAAACTAGCAGCCACTCCACGGGAGAAAGATGAGGCTTTCTACTCCCGTAAGGATTTACATCCTCGGAAACCCTGTACAGGGTCGCTATGGGTCGGAACCGACTTGACGGCACTTAACAACAACAAAAAGGCCTCTTTAGCCTCCAGGAGCTTCAGAGGGATGCGTGGAAAGAGGGAGAACTAGTTTTATATTTGTGTGTATATAAGAGACTTTGGGGTGAAAAATTACTTAAAGTAACAGTGGGGCCCCTGAGAATTTTCCCCCTTTGAAACCCTGGACTAGCCAAGGAATATCCCCCTGAAGTGAGGTTTCCTGGCCTCCCTCAACCACAGAAGTACCTCTTTTTTCTCTCGTGTGGTTGAATAAAGATTCGAGCTACTCTGGGGGGAAAATATGTCTGAACCTTGCAGATGTGCCTCTTCCCCCACCCCCACCCCCCCAACCCCCGCTAGAAAATCCTGTGATCTCCATGTTGAGGCAGTGCAAATTGGGTGGGTTGCCCTCTGGTGGACAAAGGAATAAACTGCTGGTCTTCAGTCAATTCACTGAGGTGCTCTGAGCATAGCAGCAGTGAGAATGAGCCACTTACTTCAGGCACACAATTTAAGGGGTGCCTAAAACCTCAGTAATCAAATAACAGTTCTAAAACTAAAGCTGAATGCCAAAAATGCCTATAATGAATAAAGTACCAAAATTTTAAAGACAGAATTTGCCTCTATATTTATAGAATCTTGCATCACAGATTCCAATAAAACTTTTATTTAAAAAAAAAAAGCCTGATACACAGGCTATAATTTGATGATTTTTGTAAAATATTAGTTGATTGCTGAGACTTTGGTGTCCTTAAACGCTATACCCAAGGGAGTGCCCTCAACCACCCCAGTAGAGAGTGAGGCAGCGAAGGGGCCTTGATAAAGTTTTAGGCCTCCTGGACCTTGTGGCCGGCGGATTCTGGAGACCTGCAGCCAGCAGACCCTTCATATGCGTTATTCTTCTATGAGGGGGCAGTGGGCAGGCACAGTCATTAGAAACATTGTAGAGGTAGGGAAACTGAGGCTGCTCCCATAAAACCCATGTCAGAGATGGCAGAGAGGGAGCTGGGTCCATGCCCTGAGCCAGGGTGGGCGCAGCCATTACCTTGGTGGGAGATCGTAGCCGTTTCTGCTGTGGTGAGTTCAGGGACGGCCTTGGGTTGCCTGGTGGTGCTGGGAGCGGGCGGGCTGGACGTGTACTTTGGCTCCAAGGCTGTAGGGCCAACTGTCTGCCTGACAGTGGACTGAGCTGTGGAGGTCCCCCCAGTGGTCACTGCAGGTTCAGCCCCTGAGAGAAGAAACGGTTCCTGAGTGCTGTGTGTCCAGAGCGCTATTCTGAGAGGCCCGAGCTATAATGACAGTGAGGAGGAGGTGAGGGCCACGGGCTCCAGATACAGGGCGGACGCACACACAGATGTACGTGTCACTGCTACACTGCTGTTAGGGACAGTCACAGGTGTTACAAGTGTTGCTGTAAAGTGCCAATGAGATGGTTCCGAGGAGCGGCTGGTGGGTTTGAACCGCCCACCTTGTGGTTAGCAGTCTAGTGCTCATCCTATAGTGCCACTCCAGGTTCCGAGGAATAGCTGGTGGGTCTGAACCGCCAACTTTGTGGTTCGCAGGTCAGTGCTCATGCTCTCATGCCACTCAAGGATACCAAAAGAGAAATCCTAAGCACAGGGTAGAAATGCCTCAAGACTTTCACAGGGTAGAAATGCCTCAAGACTTTCACAGGGTAGAAATGCCTCAAGACTTTCACAGGGTAGAAAT